ATTGAAATCATATTGACCCTGCAAAAAGCTGACTAGAATGGCATCCGAAAAAGTATACCAAAAAACGGTTCGATTTATATTTGAAGTGCTCTCAACATACGAATAGGAACCCAAAAAAAACGAAAAAAAAGTTGGGTTAGTAAGGAATTGAGGTAGCGGACCAAAGTTGAGGTAGTTAGTCCAGAAATACGTGTTTGGCATAGCGAGAAATGACCCGTTTTAAAAGAAAAGAATCTTAGTTGAAAATTATTTAATGCAGGCATCATCTACAAACTCCAGTTAATAATACAGTTGAGGTAGAAAAAGTTTTTTCTCGTAATAAGAAGTAATACTGACCTTTGACAAAGAGTAAGTTCAGTATTTCCTCATGCTGAGCGAGCTCGACTCACTCCAGCATGAAACAATCCTGATTCAACCATCAATAAAAATGAATCAGGAAATTATAAGCATCGTAAAAAGACACGCTATTGTGAACTGAAGGAAATAATAAAAAACAAACTGTACTAAAAGAATGAATAAAGTGAATAAAAAATGAATAAATATCTAAAAACAGTCCATTGTTCCTCTCAATATAAAGCGCTTTTTATTGATTAATTTTTAAATTGTCAGCTTGTTGATCACTTCTAGTGTTCACTGCCGCAACTTTTGCAACGACATTTAGAATTCTTTAGAAAAACAAATGCAATGGACCAAGAAATAATGATTTGGAAGTAAAATAAATTATTCATTAAGGATTAAGAAGTTATCCCTCGCATATTATCCAATTAAAGTTGGACCGGATGTGGCTCAGATGACTCCAATCATTGACCTCACCCCGACCTCACTGGTATCAAACATATGAATGAAAATTTAATAAATGACAACATAGCTCTCTATCAAAAGAGTGAAAGATTTAAAAATATTTTGATATAAGACAGAGGAGCTTTAAAGCAATTCAACGAACACCATCAATTATCAACAGTTCTGATCCAGTTGGAGTGCATCATATCCATACGGAGTTCCTCAGTTATCCGTCGATCACCCTTTTGAGTCCGATTACAATGCATTTGTTCCCAATGGTGCGTAAATTCGACTATCACAAACGTACGGTAATCACATCGACAACAACTCAACATTTGTTGAGGATATTTCTTGCACTCGATATCATCATTCAGCTTGATCTATAAAACGAAATTATAAATTAGTTACTTAATTTATAGGAATGATACTCAAGAGACTAGCATTCAATGGTGATTTCGATCCCATCACTTATTATCTTATCATAATGTTGATATTGTCTTAGTGCCAACTCTCATCTAAGTGTCCTTAGGATAATAAAGAATGAATCTGTCTGCCATTCAAGCTAAATCACTTTTCATCAAGTAGTAAAATGATTTATATAGAAGATGAATATTTTCCAAGAAAATTATTTCATTTAAAATTGATATCAAATTCAGTTCAAAATTTTTTCTTGTTTAATAGTGTAAATCACGCATTTTCATTGAATGCGACCTGATATTTTATAATATGGTCTTCGCTTAAGCAAATGAAGATAGCATAATGCAGCATTTCAGTAATGCAACAATTTTAATGCACGTTAAACTTATTCAGTAATAATTGCTAGCAAAAAAAGAAATCAGTACCTGCGATTCATTGGAATTCATGATAGCTTTTTTATAAAAGAACGAGATAGGTATATCCAAGTGATGCGTGGCAACATGGAAATCAACAATATTTTTGGTTTCTGACGAATAATCACAAAGCTCGCACTTGAAGAACGATTTTGCTCCGTGCTTTTCGGAATGAGTATTGTATGCTATGATTGTACCGCACCGGAAGGAACATCTGCTACAGGTAAACTGAAAATTATTAGATTTTAAAATTGAAATCTTAACTCTTAATGCAAATTATCTACTGTCTAATTCTATTCCTAGACGATTGTGGTGCGATCAATATCAAGTCTTTTGTTTTTTATCATTTGACATGCAAAATATGGGCAATTTTCAAAAAAATCAGAAATTCACTGGCATGAATTCATTTTAAAAACGGCAAATTCAGTCCTGTTTGAGTCTAATTTTGATTAATAACTTCAAATTCTGTAAATTTCAGAAATCAAGTTCCCTTAAATTAAGCACATAAAAAAGAATTTGAAATTTAACTTCATATTCTGATTATTGTAGAATTATTATGAAAGGAGAATGTGCTCTCAAGATCACCAACCTGCCTGTCTGAATGTTTTTCTGGTCGACGAATTTTCAGCCTTATAAATGGTTCAGAAATATTTTGTGCGGCTCGTTTGATGGATGTTGTTAATCGTTGTTGTAGGTGCTGCAATATTTTTAATTCCTCCCTTCCTAATTTATGGACTCCTAAAAGATGGACTATCTCTTACAGATTCCATAAGCTAACCAATTTAACATCATCTATTAAAACAGCCAAGACTGAGAAACTCTGTATTGAGGAAACAGATGAGGCACCTCTTTAATGCACCGCAAGTAAACAACGTTTAAATTTTAGACTGAACTAGCTTGCAAATTGATAAAAACTTGGAACTAAATCAAAATAACTGTGAGGTGATCATTCTGGACCAACTTTAAAATACAAAATACTAACCAAAGCATGATGAAGGCGATGCTGTTGGAAGCGATCTTCGTAGGCAGTTTTGTAAGGGCATATGGAGCAGTGATGAACTTTAGCATCTGAAGGTATCGTTTCAGGACTCTGATGATATCGATGTTTTAGCAATCGCTTTCTATAAAATATCTTTGATACAAATGAATTTCTGTGTGAGCTACTGAAATTGTGTCAGTGTTAATCGTCCGGCAAAATGGCATTTGTGATTACAATTTTCTTAATTCTATCCATAGTTACCTTTTGGTAAGATCTATCCTTCATCAAGTTTATCACTTGTTTATCTCATTTTTTAAAGAAGTTCACAAGAGAAAATTTCACACAAGATTGAAGACTAACTTGTTTTTCGCAGTCCAACGAGATGGTAATGAAGGAAAATGCAAGTTCAAGTGCCCGTGTAAAGAAATAGGACAAAAAGAACTATATGTGCACATATTACAACAGTATTGACGACGTCCGACATGCATTTCTTCGTGGTACTTGAAGAGTACCTCATCCGTTCCAAAATAGGGACAATGTTTACAGCGAAAAGTTTTGGATATTGATTCTGAAATAATTAGTAATAATAGTAATAATTACTAATAATACATTATTATATTGAAATTGCATCAATCTGGAATCAAAAAGAATACAGGAATAGTAAAAACATCGAAGACACGATGATAATGCTCAAATCCGAAGCTTCACTTTTATTTCAGCACTTAATCTCACTGAGAGTGTATAAGTTGTTCTGAGATCAGTTGAGAGCTATTCTCATATCAAAAGAAGAGCACTTGCTCCGACCAGTAACAACAGACAAATGAAAAAACTGAAATTAGCAATGCTACAGGCTACCTGCATCATTCGCTGCTTTAAAACTGGGTAATTTTGAGGCAATACGGCTCAAATTGAACTTGTATGTTTTTGAATCCTTTCTGCAATTAAGCCAGAGCTCATCTGCCGAATTTACAACACAATTTTTCTCCTTTACAACATCTTCCACTATTTCCATTCCATGAGCACTGATTTCTTCCGAATAATAATTTTTCATTACTCTAAAAAAGAACTGCACGCCAGAAAGAAATAAATTGAGCAAAATATAAAAAATTATACTGTCAGGGACTAATTCCTCATTCCTTTTAGCTTG